ATGAAGCATATGCCAGGAACACTGCAAAGGCAGCAGCAAAAGGCAGTTTGCTCATAGTAAAGGGGAGGAGGGTGTTTGCTTATTCTCTTGCTTTAGTAATCATAATCATTGCAGAAAGACGGAGTCTGGAGCTGGATGAGCATCAGGAGCGACAAACCTGAGGATATACAAGCAGAGTAGCTGAGACCTGCATCGACAAGAAATATTCATCTTTTGCCACTTTAATACCATTGACATTTGCTGGTGGGTTCAGGGGTGTCACAGAGGTCTCACCAGCACATGTCAAGGATGCAACCACAGACCCCTGGTGCCTCAGATTGATAGATAGCATGAAGGATGAAATTAATGTAGATGAATTACCATATAAAAGACAACCTGAGAAGTCTCTAAAAGGAAAACACTTCTTCTTAAGGTGTTTCTCTAGATCCATCCTGACTTACTGGGAAGTTGACTGTCATATCTGTAAGATCAGAAATGTAGTGAGGGTATCATCAAAGGCAGAATGAGGAGGTTGCTGTTACTTTGCCTAAAGCGCTCAAAATATGCAGGGTTTACAAACAAGTCTCTCTGGAAACCCCTTCTCAGAGCACATAACATTACTTTGTTTGCTCCATAGACCCACAAAGAGCTTAACCCCAAAAAACCAGGTGATTTCGGGGGTTACTGAGGGTGACTTGCTGGTCTGGAATGGGACATGATACAGGACTAAAGGACCTTGGCAGGTCAGACCACTGGATCTGCAGCATTACATGGAGAGTTCCCTATCTCAAGGAAGTACATAGGTCCCCTAATCCTAGAGTTTAGCATAGAAACAATGAACAGAAGGTGCTCAGATCAAACCAAGGTGGGAATACATGAGATCCTACTCACTGAACTAATTGCAAGTTGCTAATGGCACTAGTAAAAGAGTATCAGCAATCTCTGCTATATATGCATGGAGCACTAGGCTGGTTGTCCCCTGTGCTGTGAAGTCTCCTGGTTCATCTTTCCTAGGAACATAAATAAATGAAAAGACAGAGTAAGAAATTAAAAGAAAGTAAATCAGAGCTGAGAAATACTTAACTTTTCAGTAATGCCCTAACAGAAGTGCTGGAAGCCTGTAAAATCCTATCATTGATAAAGCTTTTCTCCGACATCCAGGCTCTTGGTTTCCCTGTGTCTGGAAAAGGTGGCTTTAAAATGCAGCAAAATTTGTCTCCCCTTTTCCTCTGTATCTTAATTTCCTCACCCAGCAGGGTTCTGACTCCAAGAGGAAAATGAAATTCCTTGTGCTGCTTACCCAGCTAGCAGCCACAGAGGATATGTGAAGGATACACAGACTTATCCAGTCATTGCTTTCTCTTTCAGGGACCAGTCATAGTGATTTATTTTCTTCATGTGTCATTTTTATATTATTGCCTGAAACTCATTTTGGAGTTGGAATGTAAACGGAATAAAAGAAATATTTGCATCATCATTATTAAAGACAGTTATTGTTGCTTGTGCAAAGTTGCTATAGTTTTCTGTTAGAAAATTTATCCATGGTCGTTATCATAACCTAAGCCATGATCCCACGTGTTTCATTTCCCACAGGCACTAGTGATAATGGGCAAAGATCTGCTGATTGGGTGCTCCTGTCCCTGGAGGCACTCTGGAAAATGCACCAGAACAGCTGTTTGCAGAGCAGCCAAGGAACCAGACACAGGACTTGGGGAGAACCAGAAACAATCCCTCTTTTTTAAGATTAGAGTTATCTTGGAACGGTGAAGGCCAGCACTGCTGTGGGAGTCCATTGGGGTGAAATATGGACATTTTAGTGAGCATAATACTCATTAATTTTAATTCTCTCTAGTCATATTGATAGGAGTCTGTTACTGAACTGTGTTACATCATCCCGTATCACAGAGAAGACTAAGTAATTATGTGTTTTAATGAAGCATAGACATATAAATAATATATATGTATGTATGTAATATACACATAACACTTTTTCATGGAAATTTGAAAAAGATTTTTCACCTCTTTACTGGAGGAAATAGAGGGTTAGGCATGATCTGTCATGAACTGCTGTAGGTGAATAATATTGTGGTCCTCCAGTGGAGGAGCAGTGAAAGACTTGACAGCTAATTATTACAGACTTGTGCTGGATAGTGGCCAAGGTGTATACAGCTTGATTGGATTTTGAAGCAAAAACGATGTAGGTGAGCTGGCTTGATGTGTCAGGGCAGAACAGGCAAAGACACAGTCCTGGGGCACTAACAGTGAATTATGCTGCCAGTACTTCTGACTCCTTTGGGCTTTTCTCTCCTGTTCTAACCTCATGTTTTCGCTTAATGGGTGTCAGTGAAAAGCAGAGTGCTGTGGGATGTCTGTACTGTGACTCACTCTGAGTAACATTTTTATCAGTGACCTGGAGGAGGTGAGGAAGTGCAATCTCATCATAGTTGTGAATGACAACAGATTGTGGAGGAGTTTTACATGCTTGAGGGTTCTCAAGATCTGAATGGATAAAGCCTTGAACAGACTGGTCTGGCCTCAGAGCTGGCCTTGAGGAGGAGCTTGGATTAGGGGCTTTCTCAGGTCCCTTCCATTTCAATCCTCCTGTGAGCCTGTGTCTCTAGATGCAGTGATCCTGCCTTCTTAAAAAGCCTGTCCTGTGCCACTACAAATTTCAGCTCTTTTCCTGGGGGTTTGTGCTCCCATAAGACACTGAACTGCAGCAGTGTGGGCTGTGGTGCTGGAGTCAGGAGTAAGTTGTAAAGAAGGAGTACTGAAAGGCTTTGTTTGTCTGACATAGCATTCAGAAAGAGATGGTCCCCAGGAGAGGCTGAACCTAAAATACCCTTCCTGGGTCCTTGATGAGCAGGTTTCACACTGTTATCTGAACCTGGCATGGCTAAAACTGCATTTTTTGTTTTGGTCACAGTTGTGTTCCCACAGTCAGAAGCTTTTCTTAAAGAAGTTTCCACCTCCTGCCCTCTGGGGTCTGTAGCTGCATTGCTGATGCACAGAGTGTCCCCAAACACTGGAGCTGGCATGGTACAAGAATGTGAAGAGGTTTAGAGAAAATTATTGAAGCCTTGCTCTTGACAGTTTCGAAAACAGGGTTTGAGAAGCAGAAGGACCCAGATAGCTGGGGGAATTTATGGTCCAGAGAAGGGCAGTGGAGCTGGGGAAGGGTCTGGAAGCCCTATGAGGAGTGGCTGAGGGAGCTGGGAGGGGCTCAGTATGGAGAAAAGGAGGCTCAGGGGGGACCTTCTGGCTCTGCAAGTCCCTGACAGGAGGGGGGAGCCGGGGGGGGTCAGGCTCGGCTCCCAGGGAACAAGGGACAGGAGGAGAGGGAACGGCCTCCAGCTGTGCCAGGGGAGGCTCAGGCTGGACAACAGGATGAATTTCTCCCTGGAAAGGGTGGTCAGGCCTTGGCAGGGGCTGCCCAGGGAGGTGGTGGAGTCCTCATCCCTGGAGATGTCCCAGGAAGGCCTGGCTGTGGCACTCAGTGCTCTGGGCTGGGGGACAAGGTTGTGTTTGGTGAAAGGTTGTGCTTGATGATCTTGGAGGTCTTTTCCAGCTTTAAGGATTCTGTGAGTTAATGTGAGAGTTGGGAATCCATTGAGTATGAACCTTGCACCTTTTCTGTAATTCTGTTTTTCAGTTTGATAGCTTCTTTGGCTTCTTCTATAGAGCTTTTCTAGTTAAGATCCAGTCTCAGGCTGTTTTAACATCTCTTATAGTCTCTTGTACTATTAGTTATTCTTGATTTTTTGGATGTTTTCTAGTACTAAAGGTTGTCTGGTGGTAGCACTGGGTTAGAACAGCTGCAAGATCTCAGTTTAGTTCCAAAAAACTTAGCGAATAGACCTTGAAAAACAGAGAAGAGCTGTATTGTCTTGGTTTTGAGCAACAAACATAATCCACTTTGTCTCCAGAACTTCAGCTGATGTGAATCTCTGACGTTTATCAGGTGCTTATGTTATTGCTCTCCAATGGATCCTTTCTGAGACATAGGAATTGCAACCTGGACAAAGCCAGAGCTCCCCTAACCTGTCTCAAATGGCAGCTGATAGGAGGCTCTGCAGAGGGATACTGGGAAAATCTTTTATGCACCATTCTGGAAAAACACCTGCCTGGAGGCTGTTAAACTTCTGGTCTGAAATTCTGGAGTGAATTATTAGACTTAAAGTAAAGAGAGCTTTTGAATCATGGAATCATATAATCATTCAGGTTGGGAAAGACCTCTAAGATCATCGTATCCAGCCATCCACCGAGCACCACCATCTTGTTCACCATTAAACCATGTCCTCAAATGCCACAGCCACACAGTTTTTGAACAATTCCAGGGATGGCATCTCCACCACTGCCCAGGGCAGCTTTGACAACCCTTTCCATGAAGAAATTTTGCCTAATATCCAGTGAAAACCTCCCCTGGCACAGCCTGAGGCCGTTCCCTCTCCTCCTGTCCCTTGTTCCCTGGCAGCAGAGCCCGACCCCCCCCGGCTCCCCCCTCCTGTCAGGGACTTGCAGAGCCAGAAGGTCCCCCCTGAGCCTCCTTTGCTCCAGGCTGAGACCCCCCCCTGAGCCTCCTTTTCTCCAGGCTGAGCCCCCCCAGCTCCCTCAGCCGCTCCTGCTGCTCCAGCCCCTTCCCCAGCTCCGTTCCCTTCCCTGCACACGCTCCAGCCCCTCCGGGTCTCTCCTGTTGAGGGCCCAGAACTGGGCCCAGCCCTCGCGGTCCCTCAGCGGTGCCAGCACAGGGACGGGCACTGCCCTGGGCCTGTGCCCACACCATGGCTGGCACAGCCCAGGGGCCCTTGGCCTTCTTGCCCCCCTGGGCACACCCGGGCTCGTGTCCAGCTGCTGTCACCAGCACCCCCAGGGCCTTTCCCAGCTTTGCAGCCCCTCTGCCCCAGCCTGGAGCTGCAGGGGTTGGTGTGACCCAAGGGCAGGACCCGGCACTGGTCCTTCGTTGTATTTCATACAGTTGCCCTTGGCCCATTAATCCAGCCTGTCCAGATCCCTCTGCAGAGCCTTCCTGCCCTCCAGCAGATCCACTGTCCTACCCAGCTTGGTGTCATCTGCAAACCAGCTGAGGGCAATCAGCCCCTGGTCCATACCATTGATGAAGGTATTTAACAGGACCGGCCTGGATATTGAGCCTGGGGAACATCACTGATGACCATATGGAGCACAAAAACCTCTCAAGGCTTGGGCACGTGTTCAGGTTTGTCTTGAGTCACCATAAATACTTTGAGTCCATTTATATAGATTTTAAAAATACTCTTTTTCATAGTCTTGTGCAAGTTTCACTGAATGGACCCTGTTGACATACATGTTCAGCTTTAGCTGTTGCATTGCTTTTGGTGCATGTAAACAAGTTGTCCCCTATGGCTGTACAGATTTTTATGTCACCTGGAGGATTTGCTCTCCATGAGCTCTTCTGTACTGCCTTGTGCTGTGCTGTTACCTGTCTGCACAGCCCTCAGGGTGAGGGAACTATGTTTCATAGAAACACAGAGTCCTATGGCGGTTTGGGTTGGAAGAGACCTTAAACTCAGCTTTTTCCAACCTCCCTGTCCTGGACAGGGACACCTTCCACTAGACTGGGTTGCTCCAAGCTCCATCCAGCCTGGCCTTGACTAAGTGGAGTTTCATAGGAGTGGAGCTCCTTGTATATATGGAACTTTCAGCTGCACATTGAACAATCTGTGAAGTGCATCCTCATTTGGTGTTCTAGCTCAGATGAAATGGGCCAAGAGGACACCCTCTTGGGTGCAGACACCCTCTCTACTTAAATTGTACTTAGCCGTAATGAGCAATTACCTGATTTTTCTCTCGTTCGCTGCTTTATCTGTCACATGTAGATGATAGTGGCTGATTTTAAAATGTTACAAATTCACAAGCAATTAGGGCAAAGACATATCAATGAAAGCAATGTTTTCCTGTGATAGAAATGAGTCACAATTCAACCCAAAAACCACCAGAGAGGATGGAAAGTGTTGAGAGTACGATTTTTGGTTAGTCTTCTCAAAACTATTATGAAATCTGATTTATTTCAGCTGCTGAGTGTGGCAGGACTGTCTGCAAGGGGAAGAACTGCAAGCAAAATGAGCTTCTAAAAATGCTGATTTTAGTTGCACACAGTAATTAGGAGAACAGCGAACTCTTGGGCAGATAACAAGTCCTAGCACATCCATCATTTCACACCTATTTGGTGAGGTGCTAATGAGATTTGAACACTACACAGGTCTGGTTGTGGCCTCTGCACCGAGTCAGGCAAACACTTCAGAAATGTTTATACAGTGGCTATTTTGATTCTCTCTAATATCAGTTGATCCTTTAATAATGTAGCTTTTTGTTTATTGTACTGGAGAGCAGACCTGCTTCTGTATGCAGGATCTTTTCCTGTCTTTTCTGTCAGCAGGCCAACTTACCTAGTGCTACCTCGACAACCACCTGCTATGGGCTATGGGTCTGTTTTCTTAATTGCAATGAAATCATTTATGCCAAATAATGCCACATTACAACAGCATAATTTAATTTGCAGCTGTTCATTATATTTCCATTATCCTTCAGCTTTGGCACCCTCCCAGGAAAGGACCCATGAGTACCAGGTGAGACAGTTTCCTAAAGTGATAAAATTGCACCCCACACAGTTCACTGCCGGGTCTTTTCTGTGGCAGAATTCTGGCATAATTACATTCCTTGGGTTTCACTTATGTCATGCTGAAAAATAATAATAGAGGGTTGGTTTTTTTTAAGTCTAGATTTTTTTTCAAGTCTAGATTACAATCTCTTGCTATTCGAACTTAATCATGCTGTACTATGAAAAATAAGGGTTTTTAAGATGCATGACAAATGTTGCTTTCATTTGAACATTGGAAGTTTTAACTTCAAACCTGTACAGAATTGTGCACTACATTAATACATGCCAAGGCTAGAAGAAATTGAGGCTGCCTCACAATTATTCCCTAATGGCAACAGTAATGTAAGTTGAACTTGTGAGCATTTGGCTTTTTGTAGCATTTTGTATTTAATGTATGTGGTTCAAGGCTGCATTATAATTTAGTATTATCAGGAAGAATATAGTTTATTAACCATTCCACTGTTTCTCTAGAAGTATATATAGTAAACTTTTTACAATTAATCAAAAGCAGACATGGTAAAAATGAAAATCAGATTTATTGCCAAGATCATAAATGTCAAGTGTACTGTTATGCAGGCTTTGTATTACTTCAGTTGCAACTTTAAAGAACGTTTTAAGTGATTGGAAAAAGGAAGTTTATTAAAGGCTCAGCAGGTCTTCTCTGCACTCTGCTGTTATTAATGTAAATCATTGCATCGTGTGATAGAGGAGCAATGTGGCAGGAGAAGATTTTGAACAGGCTTCCTCTGTGACTACCAATACCTTCAGGAAGAACTTGAAACACAGACCACTCTGTTTCCTCTGGCACACAAATGCATAGAGATGTCAGAAGAGGGAAAGGGTAGTGCAAAGCACCCATGGTAGTTCATTGCTGAAGTTTTTTTTGGGTCACAGCTTAGCAGACTCTGATGTTTGTAAGAAAATTCAACACTCAACAACATTTTTCAAGTGTCTATAATTGGCTTTATCTTCAGTCCAAGATATTTTACTTCACACAAATATTATTTGTTTGCTTTTCTTAGGCAACATTAATACATCCCTTGAGCTGCTAACCTAGGGAAAAATCTACTAAGAAAGTGAAATAATTTTGGTGCATGATCTAAACTTGAATTCTGGTTGGCAGGTTTTGGTTACTTCTGGCATGATGGAGACTCAAACACAGCCACAGCAGGGAAGCCCCCTGGGCTGGGGCAGCTCTGGCCTCAGCCTCTCCTTGGTTCATGTTACATGTCTGTGAAATGCAGGTAAGGGCTGGCATCTGCTTTGCAAACTGTTTTGGCGCTAGATGGTTAAAAACGTCACTGAAGACAAGGATATTGTTTCATTGCTAGTGTACATTTAGTGAAGTGATAAAGAAAGGAGCAGAAAGAAGTAAACCACTTCTGTCTTGTGACTTTTAAACAGGGAAGATTTTTGATAGATATAGGATAGATAAATACTGTAATAGCTCCTCTGTGGACGTTTTGAAATAATCCTTAAAGCTCTCTAAAACTCTGTGTGAGAGATGTCTGGAGGTTCCTCTTTTAGAGTTAAGTATGGGTTGATGAGTTCTTGAGGTTGGTTTAGTCCAACTGCTGTATGAAATACAAAGTAAGGTAAGAAAGTGAGCTGAGAAATACAGCTAAGGAAGAAAAAAGAAATAGTAGATTAAAGGCAAAGCTATAATTTCATAGAGTCACAGAATATTCTGGCTTGGAAGGGACCCTGAAGACCATGCAGTTCCAACCCCCTGCCATGGGCAGGGACACCTCCCACCAACCCAGGTTGCTCCAAACCCCGTCCAACCTTGCCTTGGACACTTCCAGGGCTGGGGCAGCCACAGCTTCTCTGGGCAACCTGGCACCTCAGCACCCTCACAGGGAAGAATTTCTCCCCAGTATCCAATTTAAACCTACTCTCTTTCACGTGTTTGATTCCTGTATTACTGTGTGTTAACATGATTTTAAGTGCCTTTCTGTTTGTAAAGCTCCTGATCACTTGCATTGAAGTATTAAACATAGTAATTTTTATTACCTGAGAAGCTTTATCCCTGAGAAGTGTTACCTAACACTGAGAAGTGTTTTCTCCCAGGCAGTGCAGGGAAAGCAAATTAAAGCCGGGGAGAGCAGGACACATGCAAACAATGCACAATTGAGAGCACCCTCACCATTGATTAACCTGCTAGGAAAAGCTGCTAACAGGTCAGGGAAGTGAAATGGATATTTTACGGATATTTTGCCTGTTACAGAACAAATTCTGGCAAATGATACATGAAGTAGTTTATGACACTGTCACCAGAAGTTCTAGAGTGCCAGTGGTGTCTGACTTTTGCATACCTGGGAGCTCCTCCTGCTCACAGCAAGCTCCAAGGCCTGACCAAATGTGTGTCTGATGGAGTAAGACTTGCCTCAACCAAGATGTTCACCCCTTTCTCAGGCACACACAGAGCACTGCTTACAAAGCAGCATCGCCAGAGACTTAAATAAAAGAAGTCCTGTGGAACATATCCAGTCCTCAGACACTACTTGGTTTATTCTGTAATTGGTGAATGCCCTTATCAGCATTTCACTTGCCTTGGAGTGATGCTTAATCAGCAGGGAGGGATTTGATTTCCACAATGTCAGCCCACACCCAACTAACTCCTCTGTACAAGCACTTTTTTAATCTCTAAATGGAAAGATTTTTAACAGGTTTGGTTTTGGTCTGAAAAAAATAGTATCTTCATAATTCTACCTTTTCAAGCTGATATTTGGAAGATTTAGTTGCTACTCTGAAATGGACTCATAGAATCTTATGATGGTTTGGGTTGGAAGGACCTTAAAGGTCACATAGTCCCAACCCCTCTGCCAAGGCCTTACCTCCAGCCCTTCCCTCTCCTATTTCTGTTCCTACAGAAATACACCTCAGTTAAATTCTCCCTGATACTTTTCTTGTGGTGAGAAGGTTTGAAATGGCTTACCGAATTCAAGTTGTGACAAAATGGGACAATTTGGGCTTTCAGTCCCTCAGGAAGTCTGCAACATTTCAGCTTCTCCTTTCATGTAAACTGACCACAGTTCTGTGTGTGGTTGGGCAATTGATGTCACACCTAACTCAAGCTGACTACCAGTTTTCTCCTGCCTTTTCCCCGTAGGCTGCTGACTACAGTCAAATTACCTACAAAACAAGAAGTCAGCTGAGATAAAGAATTGGAGAAAATGGCTCTGGTTGTCTGAGGTGCTCTGCAATATTTGTCATCTGCGGATTAGCAGCAATCAGCAAAACTCACAATAAGCGGTAAGTGCTCTAAATGTCATAATGAGCTCAGCCGTTGAAATCTGAATGCCATTTATGTTGCCCTTTGATAATAATTTGTGATTGCCACTCAAGGAGGCAATCATGTATCCAGCACAACTAAAAATTAGATGCATAACCCTGGCTTTCCATTACAGCCTGAGCTGCCGTGCAGAGTACTAAAATGGTCTTTGACTGCATTCGTGTTTCGATGTCTTACACTCATGTCACGTAATAGAAGTGAATCTTAAATGACAGAATTTATTTGGGAAAATGTGTGTAGATTACAGGTATTCTTTGGAGAACTCTACAGACAGTGTTCTAGTCATGTTATGACACTAAAAGCATCTGGTTTTTCCTGCCTGCATTTTTATGTTTTGAACATACAAACTGTTATACCAAGTACCTCTTTTGGAGGCTTGTTTTGTTCTTTTTTTTTTTCCCTTCCTCCTTTCTTTTTTGGTTATTTATTGCTGACTGCTGAAGTGTTTTGGCTTCATTTTCAGACTATAACACCTTTTGTTTATCTTCTACCTCTAGACAGAACATTTTTTTAATATTTTCTTGTCTGCAAAATTTCTTCAAAGGATGCACAGCTATGACACTCTCTTAGGCTGCTTTTTCTCCTTGTGTGTAAATACCAATTTAATCACAAATGTAATATAAAAACATGGTTTTTTAGTGACAAGCAGGTAAAAATATGGCACTGTTGGTAGAGTAGAATGTCTCCAAGTAGTGCTGTATCTCCTGTCTGGCTACTTCTCTCTTTCCAACAGCTCTTTATCATCAGGTCAAGGAGTTTAACCTCTGTTAAAGTTCTTTTGGGTTTTGGACTTCCTGCTGTTAGTTATCCAAGAAGAACACTTCCCAAGGTCTTGGAGAATGATTGGTCAGACAATTGTCAACTTTGCACTCTTTGGGAGTCTTCAGTAGTACGTTTAGTAGTGCTTCAGTACCTACTTTTAGGTGTTTGTTGCTATGTAATACGTTACAGAATAAGGAGGTAGTGAACAAGAAGAGGATCCCAAAGCAGGAGCAGAAAACTGCTGGCAAGGCTAAGCCAGCTCCATAGGAAACAGCCTGTAGTGAATGTGAGATTGTCCCATAAATCTGTTGATTCTCTGAGAGGTAAATATGGGCATCTGTCAATCCAGGGATCCAAGGGAAATTCCAGTGCAGAAATTGGGGGTTCTTTCTGTGTGATTGCATTTCACTGCTCTGTGTCAGTCCCTGGCAGGTCAGATGCTGTACGTGGCCTTTGGCATCCTGGTTCATCTGAAGGATACAAGGAAGCATCAGTAGATGGGTGAATCTCAGATGATGCTGAAATGTTCCCAAGGAGTGATAAAGCTGATCCTGAATTTCTGAGTTCGGTGGAGTTTATCTCCTGGAAGGAGGGCAGACAGGTGAGCATTTCCTCTGTTCATAGCAGTGCTGTGCTGTATTCAGCTGATCTGTGACCCATACCCTGACATGGGCCAGAAAAATGCCCAAATAAGATTTGGAGAGCCTGGAAACTACATAAACTGGGCTCCAGAGGAGTGTCATGGATAGTGTTTGCATCCTAACAAAGAAGACTGGTAGCTTACTCAAGAGATCTCAAAAAGCCTAGTCCTACCTTTGAAGCAACACCTTTACTCACCATATTTGCCAGTTCCTCATTCTTAGCAGGACTGGGTTTAGATTTTCTTATCACAGATTTTTGCATAAAAGGCAGTCACTGCACCACATATTCAGCAAAAAGAAATTCTGTGTGAAAATAAGACACCAGTCTTTGAGAGAGGAAATTCTTCCCAGACCACAGGGTTCCTGCATGGAATAAACCTTACTTTATACTTTCTGGATTTTGCAAACAGCCTTAGAAAAACACCTGTATTCAGCAAGGATGTATAAAAAGTGCATCAAATCAGGTAATTATAAGTCACATACATTAGAGCAGCTTTTCAGCATGTCTTTGCTGTGGTGGCTGTTACCTAAACATTGAGATATGGCTCAACAAGCCACGTAAACCTAGAAAATACAGCCTGGGTACTAAATATGACCATTTTCCTATGAACTTTGTGAACTTTTCATCCAGTAAACCTCTGAAGAGACTGAATAAATTCTATTTGGTACTGAAAGAGAAGGATACTGCAGTAAGTCAGCTTGGAATTGTGTTTGCCCAGAGGTCTGAAGATACAAAATTCATAGAAATATACCAAGTATCTTTTATTAGACCAGATGATATATTATATCTGGAAAAAGCAGATGAGGTTTGGGTTGTTCTGTGTCCTCATTAGATAAAACAGGGGCAAACTTCAAGCCACATGCTGACTGAGAGAAATTTGATAAGACAGAAGTAGCTAACTCTGGCAATAGAAAGAAACTGTTAACAGGGGAAGAGGTGATGAGTTGTCTCTCTAATTAGTGTATATAGGAACAGGAAGGTGTTATCAGGGGCTAAAGAACAAATTTTGTAATATTATAAGGCTCATATTACTGTTGAATCTGTGATTTATTTTTTCAATCCAGATGTAATTCCTAGGCTGCAGGAGGTGTTTTGTTGTCCTCCTGTGAAGGTAAGACCTGAGAGGGCAGGAACTAAAGGTAGAGACAGAATTCTCCAGCCAGTCTGTGGGAGTTTCTGTTTTTAGCCAATCTGCATTCCCTGTGGTCCTGCCTGGCTGTTTGTTTTCACCTCTGTGCTTTCCAGGGAGATGAGGCAGTAAAGCCAGACAAAAAAATGTGCTGAGATGAAGACACTGGAAATCTACAGGTAGCAAACCAGGGCCTGCCTCCCTTTCAGCTGAAGCAGTAAGTGCCTGCAGAGCAATGCCTGCCAATGGTCAGATTCGTGCCTTAAAATCTGGGTCTTAGGAAAATAGTTTCAGTTTTCTGGGGTCAACTAATTAAGCCTCATGAGCTGTCTTCTCTTTTTAGTCAATGTTATTCAGATTTTCAAGTATTTCTTTTTCTTTATGGAAAAAAAATTTAAAAACCCTCTGCCTTTGAAACAGCTTCCAAGAATGAAGAATCCAAGTTAGAGAGAATTAACCCCTGGCCCACTTGGTAGGGCACATCCCTGGGATGTGAAATACTGAAGGAGTTAGAGCACAAACTCAAATATTTGTCTTTCATATGCCATACAAATGCACTTCTTATGTAAAACAGTTATTAACTTAATCTATTCCTTTAAAGAAAACGTGCTGTGCAGACTCAGGATTACAGGCAGCATTTGTCCCATGAGAAAACAACACTGAGGGAAGAAAAACTTTTCTTTTAACAACAACAATACATTTGCTTTTTTTCTTCAATACTACCATGGTAGATAATAATACTCGAGGGTCTTTCCCACCGTGGTGCACCCAGGAAAGGGATGGGTAGCACAGCAGTAGAGCGTTAGCGGAAATCACAGAATTACAAAATGGCCTGGGTTGGAAGGAACTTTAGAACTCATCCTATTCCACCCCCTGCCATGGGCAGGGACACCTCCCACTAGCCCAGGTTGCTCCAAGCCCCGTCCAACCTGGCCTTGGACACTTCCAGGGATCCAGGGGCAGCCACAGCTTCTCTGGGCAACCTGTGCCAGGGCCTCCCCACCCTCACAGGGAACAATTCCTTCCCACTATCCCATCTATCCCTGCCCTCTTGCAGTGGGAAGCCATTCCCCCTTGTCCTGTCCCTCCATCCCTTGTCCAAAATCCCTTTCCAGCTCTCCTGGAACCCCTTTAGGCCCTGGAAGGGGCTCTCAGCTCTCCCTGGAGCCTTCTCTTCTCCAGGTGAACCCCCCAGCTCTCCCAGCCTGGCTCCAGAGCAGAGGGTCTCTAGCCCTGTGGTCAAATTAGTGGCTCTGTTGTGGTCCAGCCCCACAGCGTCTGTTTTCACTTCGGTGCTTTGACATATCACATAATTTGGAATTGATTACTCTGGGCTCAGGTTGGATCAGTCTGGCAACACTGACTGCAAGGCTGCTGCACAGCTGCTCTTATCAGCCCTAAGAAATACAACCTGGTAGAGTTTTTAGGTTGGTTTTCTTTTTGCTCAAAATGCCTTCTTTCATCCTGGTATGTAATACATGACTGTTAAATAAAATTATGTGTTACAATGCACTACCCAATATTCTCAATGGTCTCAAGTTGCACCAGAGGTGGTTCAGGTTCGATATTAGGCCAAATTTCTTCACTGAAAGAGTGGTTAAACATTGCAATGGGCTGCCCAGGGCAGTGGTGGAATTACCATCCATGGAAATGTTCAGAAAATGAGTAAATGGGACACTTGTGGTTTAGTGGGCACGGTGGTGCTCAGTCAAAGGTTGGATTTGATGATCTTGGAGATCTATTCCATCCTTAATGATTCTATGATAAAAACCCCCATCAAGTTGCAGAACACTTCAGATGCCAAGTTCACATGGTTCTATAAAATTTTTTATTTAACTTAATTAATTATTAACTTCCATAAATGAAGTGGAATTTGATATGCAGAATGGAAGGAGTTGCTATACTCTGCACAAACTGCTATGGGCCAGTTTAACTTTGACTGTGAATATTATTCATTAAAACAATTCAGATAGTTTGAATATAGTAAGTCAGTGTTAAATATCTATCTTTGGTGATTTTAAAATATACATATTTTCAAGTGTAGTGCAGGAAAGCCTTTGCCTTCAGTGAAAAAGGCCAAATGTTCAACCCTAAATCAAACAGGGAGCAGAGCTTTCGAAAGCTTTGCTGAGACTCACCTATTATAAAAGGCCAGGGAGGCATTTTGTTCTTCAGAGTCAGATCATATATTTTCATTTTTCCCAAGCTCTTAACCACAAGGTTCCAGAATTTTCAGTTAATTTTCAGTGAATTTAAATAGTTTATTTGGTGGCCTAAGAGAGGAATGGTTTGAAAACATCTAAAAATTACCTCTAGAGAATGTAATATTTTTTTTTTCTCCCAGAGTAATTTCCAGCCACTTTAATCTGTTGTAAATGTTTGTTGTTAAATGTTTCATAGTCACACAGAGAAAATTACCAAGTCGGGGAATTTGTAGTTTGAATCCCAATATAGCATGGGATAATACCTTAAAAATTGATCTCCTTAGCCTATTTAGATACAACTAGTAACAAAAAAAAACCCAAACAAACAAATAAACAAATAAACAAACAAATCAATGGAAACCCTCCCCATACTTAAAAAAAAAATCGAAACACAAACAAAAACACAAACCCAAAAATCTTTCTTAATTTTTATTAATGATTCTCTCATCAGCATTTAATTTTTCACTTTGGAATCCATACAAGAGTTTTAATTGATTTATCCCTACACAGAGTAGCTCTTTTTTACCTTTTTTCCCCCCTCTTGAGATTGATAAAGCAGTCATATGGAATTCTCTTTTATTTGTTTGATGTAATTGTCCTGGAGGCTGGAGTCACGAGTTATCGAGTACTTAGTCTGAATTAACAGGTGACTAAGTCTGAATTAACAGGTGACTAATACTGAGATATATTAGGAAGAGTTAACTGTGTTTTCACTGTTGGTCTCAAAATCCAGGCTTCTGTCTGGTGACACCCTGAGAATTAGTGCTCTAAAAGTATCTGCATGTCCCAGATATCTCTAATGTTTTGGTTTCTTTTTCATTTTTCTTCTTCTTTTCAGTCTGGATTTGATATACGGGTGTCACGGTTTGAGATTGCCCCCCCTGGGAGCCGGGGGGCCTAGAGGTGATTGAGTGGAAGGGCAGTTTCCCCTGGATGGACAATCACCGCTCGTTTTGTTCGCTCCTGTGAAAAATCATATGTACACAACTGGTGGAAGTTGTTGGCAATCGGTCTGTCTGTCTGCTGCTGTTGTGTCTGCTGCTGTGGGGGTGTGAGAAAGGCCCCAGGGGTGGCAGGACCCCCTTCTTTCCCCTCTTGGGGGAAGGGGGCCCTGCAGCCACACAGCTCTGTCTAAGCCAGGGTTGGAGGCAGCACTGGAGTGAGTGTGTGTTTGTGAAGAAAGGGATTCTCAACACCTGAAGGTAAGAGGGAGAGTGAAGCCAGACCCTCTTCTCCCCCCCCTTTGCAGCCAGACTGCAGAGGGGGCTTCTCCTTTCCCTCTCACTGTAAAGTGGAGGGGAGGCTTGGCATTGGAGCAGAGCCAAAGTGGACGGTCTGAAAGCAGCTCGGTGCCAGGGAGATAACCCCAGGCAAAATTAGAGATGGACCAGAGAGAGGCCCGGAGGATGTCCTTGCAATGATTTAAAACAGAAGACAGCTGAAAAATCAGAGGAGAAATGAAGATTCCAGGACGTGTACTGTAATAAGCTGAACTAAACTACAGCAGCACGGAACCGAGGTATGAGAGAGAGAATGACACAGCAGAGACGGCACAGAACCAAGGAGAAAGCACTCAGAGCTATCTTCTTGGACTTCCTGAGGAAGAAAGGACTTCAGTAAACAGCTGGAGGTTGGTGGGGGGAGTGAACCCTTTTCCCTGAACACTCCCACAAGAGAAAGACTGGTTACCTATCAGCCTAAAAGGCTTTTCCTGGACTGAATTAAGGGAAAAAGCTTAAAGGGACCGATAGAAGTGTGTAATATTATACATATAGTTGTTTTTAGCTTGTACAGTATTTATTTGTATAGTAATTAATGTATATATACTTCCCCTTTTCCCCTATAGAAGCCTGTTGCCTGAAAGTTTCTCTTCAGTGTTGAGATAAATTGTGGGAAGGGATGGGGTAAGCCTGGAAATTGGATTTTGGATTTTTGTGGTGGCTCAAACCACCACAATGGGGAACACTGCAATGGTGTAATTGAAAAAAATTATTAAAATGTAACTGTGTTTATGGAAACTTATCCACTTGTAGCTGTCTTTCTAAAATGGTGAATTGTGTTTTGGTGCTGAGTTTTAAGACACAGATTTATTTTTGTGTATCGTCATCATCCTAGAAATCCATGTAAATCATTGCAGTTTTGACATTTTTGTGTAAGATCTATCTGTATCCTATAAACTATTTATTAACGAAAGCATCTAAAGACTGGAATATATAAACTGGAGATTTTACTGGACTTTAGGATCTTTTGATTAAAAATACATATCAGGATAAAATATTAATAGATCTGTAGCTGTGTATGTCCTGGTGTTCAGATGGGCTGTGTGTCCAGAGAAGCTCTTGGATTCAGTTTGTGTGGGAGATGCTCATTACATCTGAAGCTTAAAGCCCGGCATTAAACAGATACACAAGAATAACAACAAAGTCTTAATGCAAGAGAGTGGGAGAGTTTGCAGTAATATGTTGTGTATTTACTGGAAATAATAAGCTAACCTTATTCCCTGACTGTTTTCTCCGGATTCTCCCTCAAATATTCCCCTTATTTATTTTTCTCATTTGATTGATTTTGCGCATTTAATTGTTATTCTGGTGGGGAAGGAACACCTGACAGTGCCATCGAGTGTACTGACCCGGGCAGTCCCCCATGCTGAGAACCCAGAGGTTGAGTTGCACTTTTATTTTTGTTTTCCACTAGCCCAAATTATGGTAGGAAGATCAAAAATAGTGGAAAACAAAACCCCTGTGCTGGAAGACTTAAGATAAACCAAAAAAAACCTGTGAGCCTGTTCTAGTTATTTGGTAGTAATGAAGCTTTACAGAGGAGGAGAGGATGAGGAGGGGAGAAAGATTAATTAGTAGGGTGCAGGAGATACAAATATTTTGCACCATGGTATATATATCTGTGTCTGTAACATGCATTTTTTGCTAGTTTTCCTCCTCAACCTGTTTATATCTGTAGCCCATGTAGAATGAGTGATATTTTGAACTGGGAAGATGTGATTTTCTCTAGGACCCAAGAGAATGGCATGAACCTCAGGAGAGGTTTAGGTTGGATATGAGGAAAAGGTTCTTCCCCTAGAGGGTGGTTGGGCACTGACCAGGTTCCCCAGGGCAGTGGGCACGGCCCCAAAGCTGCCAGAGCTCCAGGAGCATTTGGACAATGCTCTCAAGACAGGGTGGGATTGTTGGGGTGTTCTGTGCAGGGCCAGGAGTTGGACTGGCTGGTCCCTGTGGGTCCCTTCCAATCAAGACATTCTATGTTCTGTGATTCTATGGCAGTCAACAACACAAAGTAACTAACTCAACCCTAAGACATTTCACTGGAATCACACATTGATATCATTGATATCATAGATGATGACATTGCCTGCAGGGACTGTGAATCCTCCTTCATTCATTATTTCAGTCCTTCTATTCCTGGCTTGTGTATTCCTGGCTGTACTGGTTTAGCACAGCCTGTTTCACACATTTTAGCTTTATGTGTAACAGAGCAGTATATGTACAAGGTATTAAAGCCAACTTTACATCCAGTTCTCCACCCCCTCTGGCCACCATCCTTGTGCTCTCTCTCTCTCTCTCTCCACAACCAGCCTATGGGGTTTTTTTAATAATTTATTTTCTTCTTCTTCTTCCCTCTCCCAACAGTTCCTGGCAGAAGGTCCTGATGTGAAACAAAAGTGAGAAATGCCCAGAGCTGTCAGGATGGGAAATAATAGGGATTAAGAGGCCTATTTCTGATAAAGTTCCCTGGTCAAACAACTGAGCCTCTTCCTTCTCCCTTTCTTAGTGTGCAGCCACCTGCTCAGTGGTTACATACATCCTGCCCACCAAGGACAAAGGGATAGGTTGCCTCTGGTTAAAGCACTGGGATGGGATGCAGGTGTGTTGGATTCAGCTCTTCCTCCCCACGCTACGAAAATTCCATAGTTTATCCAGTGAGTTTGTAGTTGGTAAACGTTACTGTAGTTATAAACAAACCGACGTAAATGTAATTTTCCCAGTTCTGGGCACTGTGAGAGAGTTAATTCCAGCCTCCAACAATGCTGTTTTATTCCACTACCTAGAGGGAGCCTATAATAAAAATGGAAAGAGACTATTTACAAGGGCTTGGGGTGGCAGGACAAAGGGGAATGGCTTCCTACTGCCAGAGGGCAGGGATAGATGGGATAGTGGGAAGGAGTCCCTCCCTGTGAGGGTGGGGAGGCCCTGGCCCAGGTTGCCCAGAGAAACTGTGGCTGCCCCTGGATCCCTGGAAGTGTCCAAGGCCAGGTTGGACGGGGCTTGGAGCAACCTGGGCTAGTGGGAGGTGTCCCTGCCCATGGCAGGAGGTTGGAATGAGATGAGCAGCAAGGTCTCTTTCAACCCAAACCATTCCATGATTCCATGATAATCTGTAATTCTGAGTTGCAAGAGCCAGGGTTCTTTAGGATATGCAGAATTCTGAATTTGGTTACAAATTTGGTCCCTTCAAACCCAAAGCATTCTGTAATTCTATGATTCTGTAATTTATCTTGATCAGAGACACAGGCATTGCTATGAGTTAGCAGAGATGATGCCATGATTCGCATGGAAATAGCCCAGCAGCTGCTTTCTAAGGTGAATGTGGATGGAAGAACTTGGGAGTCAAAGAGAAAAAGGAGTTAAAAGGTGGTAAACTGTAAATAAGACCAAATTTCATTCAATAAAGAAGTATTCCTTTGTATCCTCAACTCAACAAGTTAGCAAAGCTTCCAAAAGATTAATAAGAACAGATAATCCTTCCTTATATATTAAATATCTACTGTATTTTAGCTTTGGATACTAGAGAGTACTTGTTTTATTGGGGGTGGGGGGTGGTCTATCTTTTTTAATTTTTTTGGTGGTAGTTTAATCTTACAGAAAATCTTACTTCAGAAGCAGCTGAAGCCATTAAATGTCTAAAGGGAGGTGTAAATAATTCCACAGTCTGAGGACCGGGCAGTCCTGAAGTGTGGAACAAACAGCCCAGAAAATGCTGACCACTTTCTCTCTTTTCCCTTTGGTTTGTGTAGAAAACAAAGTTAGAATTCTGCTTAGTTGTTGGTAATGCAGGCAAATTCATTTGCTTTTTCTCCTGAGTATCACGTTGGCTGTGCTACACATGTTTAAGATACATATTGTAGTTGTCCTCTAAAAAAAAAAAAAAAAAGACAAAAATAGAACTATCTGATTTCTGTTTGACCTTGAGCATGGGAGGTCTGTTTGTAACAGGACTGGCTTAGTGATCTCATTCCCCATCGGCATTAAGCAAAAGTAAGTCCTGATAACGAGTAGTGTCGTGGGTGGGAGTGGAAGGCTTAGACAAAATCTATTAAAGAAGCCCTGCCGTTGAGTCACGAGGTGTAGAAAGGATCCAATCTTAGCCTCAGATTTTGCCAACGGTTTAAATTTAAGGAATTACAGAGGTGTGACTGAACCACTTTTGTCCCACAAGTTTCAGTGATGGCAAACTGAGAGTATTTATATAAAACTAATCACTTACTATTACAAACGGTCAGATGAGTGAACAGACAAAAGATCTTAATCAGAATTATTTACTACACAACATAAACACTAAACCTACTAGTAGTACAGTATAAGATAGGGTAGTGCACTGTATTGAAGCAATTATTGAAGCAATTATATCAAAGTTGGCAAAAAGAAATGATTATTGAGTAGAGATTTGATGTAACTCACCCAGAACAACACACCTGGGGAGATCTCTTTCTCTCACCCTAGAGAAGTGACCCTGGGGGGTGTCCCCAGCCAAGGGAGGAATCTCCACTCACACACCCCAGGAAGGGCTATGTCAGAAGAACCTGCCTGTATGAAAGGGGACTGGACTTTTATAGTACAAAGTGATTGACTGCTAGTCACTAATTTCCAGGCCAGCTACCAGCTTATCTGTCACATCCAGCTTTAAAAAGCAGGATGTGTGTTTGAAGTTTGGTGAACCAGGCTGGTTTTAGCACAATTCAACACCAAAACACATTACCACAGAGAGCCTTCACAATGGCTTGCATTGTGTGGGGTAAGCCCTCCTGCCAGAAGTAGCCATAAAAATAATGTCTAGACAGAGGAAAACTGGTTGTCCTTAATCCAATCCAAATTTGCCTGCAGTGCTTTGCATTTACAGCAAGAGCTCTGCTGACATAGTCTGGGGAAGCAGCTATCTATGGCCATCACTTATCTGTCCAGCACAAACAGTACATTCCCCTGAGAAGCAATGAGATGAAACCTTCAGCTCAAAAGGCAGACTAAGATTAGGGAGAACCTACAAAGAAATGCAAAAATAGCTTTAGTAAGGGAGACTGAAAGAATTTAACACAGACAATAGCCTTGTAAGAGGATTTCTGAGACTGAGATAAATAGTGGCAGGAGGTGACGTTGTGCACAGTCCTACATAGTCTGGGTGCATGTTTTTGTCTACATCCAGAAGTACATCATGAGTTTCAGAAGGGCAGACTCCAGAGCTAAATAATGGAGACTCTTTTTTAATAATGCCATTATGGCTGCCCCATCCCTGGAAATGCTGCTTGGAGCAAGCAGGGATAGTGGAAAGTGTCCCTGCCCATGGCAGGGGGTTGGAATGAGATGGACTGGAAGGTCTCTTTCAACCCAAACCATTCCATGATTCTATGATAATCTGTGATTCTGAGTTGCAAGGGCCAGGGTTTAGTGTCTGTTCTTTTGGATATGCAGAATTCTGAATTTGGTTACAGTGGCATCCTGAAGGACCTCTCTCCCAGTAAAAACTTGGTTTTTCCTCTGTATTTGTTTTTGTAAATTTTTAAAATACTCCAAGTTAACTGAACGCTAATGAACCACAAAAACCTTC